AGGCGCACTCTCCTTGACATTGTCAAGGTCTATTTTTCCACCGCTCGACCCAGTGGCCATAACAGTGGGCTTGACATCCGAGAGATAGCACTCACGGGCCATCCTCTGATCTCCCCTTAGGGACCCGACTGTTCCATTATCCCTCTCAAACTTGAGCAACATAAGAGATGGGATTATAACAGACTTGGAATTATTCAGGGTTGGTCGTCCCAGAATCATGTTGTAGGCCGAGAGTTCTTCTACTACCAGGAACCGGACTACCATGTGTCGTCCTTCCCCTTTTTCGCCCAAATGGATGGGTAAATCCACTCGTCCCACTGGGTGGACAACTCCTCCTCCAAACCCTACTAAAGGGTGGGATGCCGGATGTATGCAATCAGTCTGATATTTTAGTTTCGACAGACATTTGCTACTGATGAGATCTGAGGAGCTTCCGGTATCTATGAGGATTCGGCCAACTCTCTGGTTGGCCACTTTACATTCAATAACGATAGGGTCGTCATGCGGCCCTCTTACCCCTCCTAGATCTTCTTCAGTGATGACAATCTCAGGAAATGAATATTTGGAGGGCCGTTCTTGGTGAACGGAATTTACATCTAACCGTCTGATATTGTCTTTGTTGCCCCTAATAGTGGGGCCGCCTCCTGAGAAGCCGCCTGCAATGGTGTAGACGACTGCATCATCTGTATCGGAACTGTCGGCCTGTTGATTCTTTTTAGCCGACTGCTTTTTCGAGGAAGTGTTCCCCGTAGATTTCTTGACATAAGTGTCAAGATCACCTTGCTCAGCCAGGCGGTCCAGATACCGCATGAGTCTGATGCATTCATTGGTGTGATGACCAACATCTTCATGATAATCACAGAATTTTTCTTGGTTCCGGTTGTTTGCAGAACCCTTCATGGGGACCGGCTTCTCAATTGAGATCCGTCCCTTGATTTCCTTTAGGATAAATTGGCTATCCTTGTTAAACGCATACTTTGGGGAGTATGGTTTGAATTCTTTTTTCTTTTTCTGGGCCGGCTGTTTAGAGGAATCAGCCGCCCATACCTCTTTTCTCTTCTCGTCTTTGTTTGACGACTGTTTCTGTCGTCCTTCTCTTTTGTCGGACCTTCTCCCGTCTGACTGTTTTACCGTACTAAAAAGATCAGTCGCCTGTATATAAGCTTCCGCTTCAATCAAGGCCTCTTGAAGAGTCGCCACCCTCTTTCAGACCAAATCAAATTTGAAGGTCGACCCGTCTTTGAGACCTCTGAAAAAGTCAGTATAGGCTACTTCATCCGGTAACCCTTGAATCTGTATTCTCATCAGGTTAAACCGCCTGATGTAAGAACGAAGCCCCTCCTTCTCGCCCTGCTGAATTGTTCCTAAATCAAGGGTCGTCTTCTTCGCAGGGATGTTCATGGTGAAGTTGGAGGTGAATAAGTAAGCAAGCGTCTTGAAGTTATTTACACAACCAGTCGGCAGGTTGCCGAACCATTGTTGTGTGATTCCTTTGAGAGTCGCTGGGAAACACTTGCACCAAGTGGGATCATCCAACCCTTGAAGGTACATCAGGTTGGTGAATGCCATCAGATGGTCTTCTGGGTTAGTAGTGCCGTCATAGGCGCCTACTAATACATTTTTCACTTTGACCGGCTGAGCGGCTTCAGTAATTTCCTTGGAGAAGGCCGACGGCTGTTCACCAAGTCTAAGCAACCGTAGCTGCCAGTCCATAGGTTGGACATTTTTTGCTGCATGTCCACCAAACGGAGGTGGCTGTAAAAAATACTGTTGTTGCGGTACAAACGGTAAGTTTGGTACCGCCTGGTCGCTATGAAAGCCGGACTCACGGGAGGTGCCGCCTGACTGACTCTCATGATACGACTGAGTATGCCTCATCGAGGTATTTCGCAGACTGTCTTGGAAGTTTGAAGTAGAGGCCGACTCTGACAATCGGCCACTCTTCTTCTGCTCTAGCAGTAGCCGAGCGTTTGTGTATGTTTTCCTCGACCCGTCCGCCTGAATATGACGAACAGGTTTCCTATTTCCTGGAGTAGGAAAACGGTATTTTGTGAAATCAAGGGCAGGTGGCTCCCACTTCCTAGATTTAGGATGAGGGGTCGTCTCTCGCCCTTGAACTGGCTTCCTCTTCCGTGAAGTGGAGGGTTTCTTAGCCGACTGCTCCTTGTCCAGAGCAGGCGGCTTCTTCTTGATCAACTCTTGAATTTCTCCCTTGAAGTCCCTCATGAAGGTCATGAGTTCGTTCCTTGTGATGGGAGCAGACCCATCAGTCGGCTGCTGCCGAACAGGCGGTGCGCCTGCTGGATCGCTTCCAGTTTGAAGATGTCCCCATTCCCTCCTTTCGGTATGACGGGTACGTCGGGCCCTTAGGGTCCCGTCTGAAGCTGTGTGAGCTTCAACTTCAAATTCATTCTCAGTATCGTGGTCCGACTGAACTAGAGGGTCGTCCAGGGGACGTCTCTCTTCAGGAGCCGGTACAAACGTGGATACCATCTCCAAAGTACTCTCCCCACAGACGGCGCCAAGATGTTTCGGGGTTTTCTGATGTCCTGCGGGAGAGTTACAATTCCGAGACTGGAACCGGACGCCTGTACCTGCAAAACAAACGGATGCTCCGGATGATTGGAGATCCGCCTCCGACGGTCAAGTTAGTACTTGATTAAGGAGTAATTAATGCGGAAATTAAAGTGATTGGGTCTCTCTAGGTGAGAGAGTTTAATGTGTGTAATCTGCGTAATCTCCCTTAATGAGGATTAAGGGAGGTATTTATAACCTCGGGAAACGTGTCAATCTAGGTTTAGGTTAACCTTGGGCTGATTGGGCTTCCCACGGAAGTTGGGCCTAGGTGACCGGTTATCCCAGGTGTCATGGGAAGGACACGTGTCGTGTCGTAATTGGTCCATAGTGGACGGATCATTGCTTGACACGTGGCAGGCTCCTATTGGCCCATGTGACGGACACATGGCGGAACCTGATTGGTCCACTTGTCAGATGGTGATTGGTGGGGAAAAATCCCCTAATCAACTACCATTTTAAACAGAACGAGTATATTAAATAAACACATAGACAAAAAGACTTATTTTGATCAATAAAAAAGCTACATAAGCAAAATTAGTGAATAAGGTTTGAGATTTTAAATTCAAGCGTCACATAAAATTAATAAAACAACAAAAGATAATTTTAGCGTTAAAATTAAAAATTTATCTTATGATATTAGAAATTTTATCCATATATTTAGTGAATGATCTTCATAAATATACAAAATTTTAAATTAATAAAGTAATTTATTAGAACCGTGCATCGCACGGGATTTTTCGGGAGTATTTGGCACGCCACATAAGAAAAGATATTATTTTGTCCAATGAAAAATTAGATTAATAATTTATTTTAGAATTAAAAAATTTACTCGCCACCTAAGCAAAAGTGACGAATAATATCTAAGAATTTTGACAGATACGTAAAAACAACGAATAGAGAATAATTAAAATTTAAATTATTTTTAAAAACCTATAATTATCTTCTCTTAAAAATTAAAAAAAAAATAAAAATATTTATCTATATGAATGCAAATATTTTTAATCTTTTCCTAGCAAATATTATAAAACCAAATCTCATATGACTAATTTCCCATAATTGTTAATAGTTAAACGATTATAAATGAGACTAACATTCTAAACATAACGGGTATATTAAATAAATGCACAGACAAAAGACTAAGACGAATAAAACTAAATCTCATATGACTAATTTCCCATAATTTTTAATAGTTAAACAATTATAAATGAGACTACCATTTTAAATAGAACGAGCATATTAAATAAACACATAGCCAAAAGACTTATTTTGATCAATTAAAAAAAACTAGATTTGTCATTTATTTTATGAATTAAAAATTTAAATTGTCACATAAGCAAAATTAGTGAATAAGGTTTGAGATTTTAAATTCAAGCGTCACATAAAATTAATAAAACAACAAAAGATAACTTTAGTGTTAAAATTAAAAATTTATCTTATGATATTAGAAATTTTATCCATATATTTAATGAATGATCTTCATAAATATACAAAATTTGAAATTAAATAAAATAATTTATTAGAACCGTGCATCGCACGGGCTTACATCTGGTATTAATTAATTGAAGAATAAAGTTGAAAAAAATAAATGACAACTAGCTTGCCATGCATTAAAGTAAAATTTAGCTAGAAAAATTATAACTAAAAAAGATGATGTGACAATTTAAACTAGAAGATAAAACAGGTTGCTATTAAGTTGCTCTATCTAATTTATTTGTCATAATATTGTACTATCTCACTCAAGCAAAAGCTAGAGTTTTTTTAAAAATAAGGAAAATACACAAATATAGTCACAAATTTTTATTTATTTATTTTTTTAATATATATATATATATATATATATATATATATATATATATATATATGTATATATATATATGTATATATATATATATATGTGTATATATATATATATATATGTATATATATATATATATATGTATATATATTAAAGCTTGACTAAGAAATTTTTGAAATAGTAAGTCAGAATTTTACTACTAATCGTCTAGTCTAATATATTGTCTGAATTTATCTAATTTTATCTGAGTTTATTTGAACTTTTTTTTTTAAAGAAGTTTATTTGAACTTAATATATCTTAATTTGAATAATTCATATTAAATCTTGTTATAAGTTTGTTGTCTAAATTTATTCGTCTTGTCATAAATTTGAATTTATTTTCAAAATTATTAACTTATTTAAACTTATTTTTTCTCGACTATGCACCAACTAGTTGAATAAAACAACTCGTACGATTGGTTGTGTATTAGTGTAAACATTGCACAAATTTAAACCTACTAAAAATAAATAAATTATTAAAAAAAAAAAAAAAAGTAGGAGCAAGAAGAAAAAACGACACAACTATATATTATGAATAATATCGTTATTTTTGTTATCTTATTTTTAAGTGAAAGATACAGATACCTACCGATTTCATAAACAAGACCAGAGAAAGCAGAACAACCAGGACCTCCAGTAAGCCAAAGCAGAAGAGGGTCTTCTTCTACATTTCTTTCTGATTCAATGAAGTAATAGAATAATTGCACTTCCTCTGATTTTCCAACCCCTATATATCTGCCTCATTATAAATAACCAACCAAAAAAATATAATTTTTTTTCAATTTGTTATTAGCATACCTTGACAAATAATCGTTGTACAAAAGTGTTTCTAGGAAGAACTGTTAGAGACGGAGGGAACATAAAATAATCAGTACGATGATATATCTTACCCGGTTTCGAGGGTGAAAGGTAGATTGCCAGGATAACCAGGTAGAGACTTGATAATCTTGGATTGTGATTGAGAAAAAGAGATTAAAGCTGAGATCAAAATTAGCTGCAAAATTTGAATTTTGTGTAAGTTGATCCTGTTTGTTTTTGGTTAATACCAGAGAAACAATAGAAACTTTTAAAGAATAAATAAAAGGGTGGGTAGTAGATTGTTTGATTAATCTGCTTACTGACTTTTAAGGGCAGATTATTAAATTCTAATTAGATGCATAATCACATGTTTCATGTAATCATGTTCATATGTAATATGTTGAGTTGTTGACTACTCTATTTGGCGAATAATTTATTTAGCAATATTTATAGTAATATTACTTTGATTAGCGAAAGAAATTAGTGCAAGCCTATGAAGTATTAACATATTTACTGATTGTTGTCTGACTTTACTGTTAAATTAGTTGATATTTTAAAGAAATTTTCTAAATGGTACCATTAAACTATTGGCTTTTCCAAGTAGTAACTTTATTTTATTTTTCTTTCGATTGGTACTAATCAAAATAGTAAACTTGCTGTTATTATAAAAAGTTAAGTATAGGTTAATTTGCTAATATTATTACCGTAATACCCCTTGTATTCCTTCCATGGAGGCTTCTCCTTTAAATTTAACTCCTCTCATCTGGCAACTCTCCATAATATTGCTTTTTAATCATTGCACATTCACTACAGGTCTCTAGCTAATTAGATAATTCCTCCGTTTCAAAATGATGTTCCTGTTTCGTAAATCGATGCAAGTTTTTACTCATCTTTGACCATAAATATCTTTAATTTTAAGAAAAATTAGAAATAATAATCCCAACTTTCATCAATTTTGGTTGAATAATCCCAACTTTGAATTATTTTGTAATAATCCAAATATTAGGGGGGTCTTGTTTTTCTTCATTTCCTAACCGGTCAACAAAAGTTAATGACCTATTATATCAGGTCACTTGGCACGTGTCAAGTCTTGATTGGTCCAGAAAAAATTTAAAATTTTTTTTAAAAAAAAAAGGAAAAAACCCAGAAAATCAGAAAACTACCACTCAACCTCCGCTTCACCAACCGACCCACCCTAACTTCCACCCCGCTGCCAACTTGCCGCCCCTCGGTCGCCGGCCCGCCACGCTTCCCCCACTACCTGGCGTCGCTGTTTTCCTCTCTCCCTGAAACACTTTCCCATTCCACCACGAAACCACCAACAAACCCTTCCCCACTGCCAAAAACCCCAAATCTTTCCTCCCACCACCTCAAAACCCTAGCGGCTAGGGTTTTCTATGGTAGGGGAGAGGTATTTGGCAGTTTTCGATGGTGGGGGAGGTGGTTTAAGGGATTTTCGAGAGGAGGGAGAGGTTTCAAGGGAGGATGGTGGTTTTCAATTGAGAATTGTTGCCGGGGATAAAGAGGGACGGTGGGGGTTCGCAGCACTAACGTGAGGAGGAAACCGACGCAATGGGAAGGGGGTTAGGTGGTGGCCGGGATTAGGTAGTTAGGCCCTTTTGGGGATCGGTTTGGTTTTCGCTGTTTGGCTGGTGGCCGAGATTAGGGGGTTTAGGCGGTGGTCGGAATTATTAGGTGGCGTTTTTTTTTAATTTTGTTTTTTTTATAAATTGTTTTAGCCAATTCACATATGACACGTGACACTTTAAAAAAAAAAAATTAACCCATTCAACTTGTCACCGGTTTTTGGGATTGAAGAAAAAGAACTACCCCCAAAGTTCAAATTATTCTAAAATAATCCAAAGTTGGGGTTATTATTTCTAATTTTTTCCTTAAATTTACACTAGCCAAAATTATAGAAGTTAGATATTAATAAGTTATTCACCAATTTGAATCAAACTTGATTTCACGTGACTATTTTTGTTCTTATAGGTTAAGAGAAATGTAGAAGATTATTTTCTTTTTTAAAGTAAAAAATTCCAAACAGGATTCATCATTGTGAGTATAATATTGCCTCTAACCCTCCATTACTTATGCGCTCACTCTTTCTACTCAACAACCTCAATAGCCGCCATTGTAGCTTTAAATATAATAGCGCTGGTTCCGAAAACTATAGCGGTGGTTCCATTAGTGGTTTTGAACAGAGATTCGTTACCAAAGTTTTTATCCGTCAAATGTTTAATTAATTTTAATGATCGGGCTCACTTAGTAATATTAATTGCTTTTGTAATCATTAGCAAAGAGCACAAGACCAAGGTAAACAAGAAAACAGATTGGGAATGTTCAATTGATCATGTCATAAAACTTGTTCTATTTGTTTAGCCCAAGAATTTGCTCACAATTCATCAATGTGGTCTTGATAAAGAACAAAACATCATCCTAAAAATAAAAAAAAGGAAAAGAAAAAGAAAAATTTATTACACTACAAAAAGGAAATTTTGACAATTACCACCTTCTGTTATGTCCATTTTAGCAATTATCACTTTTTTTTTTTTTTTTTTGAAAATTACCACCTTTTATTTTCAAAAACATCAAAAATTACCACATTTTTGCCCCCCAACTACCACGTGACGTCATTTTGGGCCCATTCTTTCCCTTCCCTCCGTACTTCCCTCACATTTCTTATTCTTATGTGGCTTCTCATCTCCCCTTTCACTTTTTTTCTCCCAAACCACCAATAATTGTTCGTCAATTTTAATTTAGAGGAGTGAATTGAAGTGTTTTTGATTGTTTGGGGGAAAAAGTGAAAGGGGCCGAGGGATGAGAATCGAGTTAGGAATGAGAAATGTGAGGGAAATAGGGAGGAAAGGGAAAGAATGAGCCCAAAATGACGTCATGTGGTAGTTGGGAGGCAAGAAGGTGGTAACTTTGGATTTTTTGAAAATAGAAGGTGGTAATTTTCAATAAAAAAAAGGTGGTAATTGTCAAAATTTTCCTGCAAAAATAATAAGAAGGTGGAAATTCAAGTTGCAAATGTAAGGGGGAAAGGGTGAAAATGGAAGAAAAGGTCAGAAAATGGGAGGAATAAGAACTAAAAAAATGGAGGGAAGTGGAAGATAAGGGGTATTAAGGTAATTATATTAGCAAACTAACCTATACTTAACATTTTAATAACAAGTTTGTTGTATTGATTAGTATAAAAATTGGGTGGCATTAATTGAAAGAAAGATAAAATAAGGGTACCACTCGAAAAAGTCAATAGTTCAATGGTACGGTATCATTTGGAAAATCCCTATTTTAAATTTAAATACGAGATATATACAAGCTTGTCTTTTCAGTTTTCACTAGAAGGTGTTTTAGCTTTTGAAGTAGAAGTAAATATAGTAAATCGCTAAATAAAGCCTTAAATTACTTGATTTTGCCTACATTTTGCGTCAAATTGACATCATTACCTTTCCACCCTTTCCCTCTCACACTCCTCCTACCACCACCACAACAACCAACGCCACCAAAAACACACCAAAAATCCACTAATCCCACCACCACTATTACTGTGCATCAGAGCACACCACCACCATAGTCGTCATCACTACCTGCTGAAAGTTATAAAAAAAAAAGGAAATAGTTTGACTAAAATCGATGTGTTTTGGCCAACAGACTAATTAAATATAGACAAACCGACCAATCCCACCAATTTTTCTACACAAGGACGACTAGGTTATACCAGCTTGTCTTACCAGTTAACTAGATCACACTAACTTTGGTCAAATTGGGTTAGTTGATTCAACCCGTACACAAAACCAGTTAACATATTAGGAAATCGCTTTGAATAACTAATAACTCAAAATTGCATTCCAAACCATATTAATTGTTAACAAATCGAGAGATCTCTTGATGTAGTGGATGGGAGGTTACCTCGCATCCTCGAGGTGCGAGGTTCAATCCTCATCATTAGCAACAAATCTCACCTGACCCCTACCCCTCTAGAGCATTGCCAGCTAGGTATTTCTATGATAGGAGCCTTTGGCAAGGGCCTAATTGACCTTACCATGTAAAAACAAATAAAATACATGTAAAAACAAATAAAATTTTGCTGGTAAAACCAAAATTCACTACTACAAAAACTAGAATAAGAAACGCAAGATATAGAACGGTTAACTTAGATATGCAATCTCTAGGATTATATAGAACGCCTATCTTAGTTAACCGTTCTATTTGATTTTTTTTTTATTTTATTAAATTGTGATTTTATTACATAGAAACGCATATCTTAGTAAACCGTTCTATTTGATATATCCAAATTTTACACTTACAATATAGATCGCTCCTCTTAGTTAACCGTTCCATATGTTTAACATTATTTTTTTAAAAATGAAAATAAAAATAAAAATCTAACATACCAAGAGGCCCAAAATTCTATCCCTAATTTTCCTTAAAAAAAAAAAAAAAAAAAAAAAAAAAAAAAAAAAAAAATCTAACCCTAACTCCTCTAAGAGCCGTTATTCTCAAATAACTTCCCCTCTTCATTTCCTCATCCTCTATCTCACGCACTTCTTGCTTCTTCCCTCCTTTGAAATCCTTACTCCTTTATCTTCTACCTTTATCCCTCAAAGTCTGATCATCATAAAAACTCCGGCTGACATCCGATTAACCCCTTCTCCGTCGTCTTCTTCCTATATTTACAACTAAACTTCGATGCAATACGGTGCGCGAAAGCTCAAACCATTGAAACCTCGATTTTTCTCTGTTTATGGTCGCAAGTTGTTGTGGGTTGATTGGGGTTTTACATTATTAAGGTAGGTGATGGCTGACATTGAATTGATTGGTGGGTCGTGTAAGGTGGTTGGAGGTGTGTAAATTTGGAAGTGCATTTTAAATTAATTCTTAATTATTAATTTTAGATCTATAACTTTTATCAATTGATATTTATTTTATGATTTGGATTATAATTTTTTATTTTTCATCTATGATTTGTGGGTGTTTGGTGCGGCTTCACTATTTGCGTGCACTATTGGTGAAGGCGCTGCGGTGGTTGAGGTTGGTGGAGACATTGCGGTGGTCGACGTTGGTGGAGATGCTGCAATGGTCGAGGTTGGTCGAGGCGCTACTAGGGAGTGGTTCAAGTTGGTGGAAGCACTGCTGTTAGTTCAGGTTGTTGAAGCTCCGCTGTGGTTGAACTGTACTGTATCAAAATTAATTTTGTTGGTGGAGGTGGTTTCGAATTTCATGGGCAGTTTAAGTTGCACTTCTGAAGTTCTTAGCAGTTTAGCACATTGATAATTATTAAGTTAGGGTATAGAATTGTATCAAAATGTCCTTGAGATGTAATTATTTGAATATAAAGAATACTTAGTAATAAAGGTTCTTTTTAATTTGATATTTGACTTTTACAATTTCAATTCTATTTGATTTGATTTATTAATTGATTTGATAATTATTAATTGATTTGATATGCAACCTCTGTGATGCAAAATTAATAATTTTTTTAAAAAAAAATTGACAAAGAGAACGATTATCTTAGCTAACTGTTCTCTTTTATTCATTTTATATAAAACATATAAAATAGGAAAGAGAACGGTTATCTCTTGGATATAGAACGCCTCTTGTACCCGTTCTCTTTTCCCTTGCATATAGAACGCCTCTTGCACCCGTTTTGTAAACTTTACACATCCTTAGCAGAAGAACGCCTCTAAGGCGTTCTATAAGGCCTATTATAATAGTTCTCTAAGGCCTTTTTTGTAGTAGTGATTTATTGAATTTAAAAAAGAGATGACATGGATAAATATAAACAAATTGAACATCTTATTTTGAGATGTATGTTACTCAAAGTAACATTTGAACGTAAGTCTATCTTTTTATAGCCATAAATATTATGTAAGTTGCAAGGACGGATACAGGGGTTGTCAGGATAATACAATCGAGTTGCACCCATATTATATACTCCTTCCGTCCCTTAATACAATGTCTCTTTTAAGCATTTATTCCTCACATAATAAAGAGAAAGAGGCATTGTATTAAGAGACGCATGGAGTATTAAATATAATTTTGGTTGAGTTGGTAGCACAATTGCTATTTTATTTTTTGGGTTTAGAGATCAAAACCTGTAGCACACAATTTTCTATTATTTTTTTTTTTATATTGTTATTTCCGTTTATTGCTCAATGCATCTTTTTTCTTTTAGTTTTTTTTATATATCATTTTTATTGGCTTAAGGAGTTATGGATATGTACTTTTTAAAATCCTTCTTATTCTTTGTTGTAGCAATTTAAAATTCAACTTATGAATATGCTTTAGAAGACTGGTCCGGTTCATATAAAATTCCTAGATTCGTCCGCTTGCCAAATAATTCTAAACGTTTGAGGTTTCTTACATTTCCAAGATCTTATCATTAAATGTGCCTAAAATATGTTGTTGAATATTAGGGATAATAATGCAATATCTTTCACAATCAATTTTTAACTAGAATCGTGAAACTACTAACTATAGACAAGATAACTCAAATATAGCTGAACTGGTTAGAACTAGGGCTATCAAACAATCATCTCTCAAATAAATGGGTGAAACCAATCGAAATCCGACTCTTACATCGAAAAAATTTAATTTGGAGCTAAAAATTTGACAAACCAATCAATTCGATGTCAACCTGACCTCCAATTTTTAACCCAAGAATTGAAGAGCTACACTACCTAATCTAGTATCAATGCTAGAAAATTAAACTCATGACTCGATTTGGATTTGATATGTATGATCCCAACCCAACTTGCAATCAATTATAACATATAACTAAATTCAACCAAAGAACAATTGTAATTAACTTGACAAGACATAACTTGGGGCTCAATTCGACTTGAGAGTTGATTCAAACTAATTTAATTCTATAAGACCCGAAATTTGATTTAACCAACGTCATTATTCTATGATCGCAGTTGGATGAATCTCCAGTGGTTCCTTCCATCGGCGTCATCGAACCACATTAGCAATCCAGAAGAACTGGAAGCTCGAAACGACCGGTCAAAGGAATTGAATGGGACCCCTAGAAAAGAGCGTATAAAGGGAGGGAATTCGGAAAATTCACTCTTTCCAACCTTTTCTATCTATAGAAGTAGGTTTTTGAAAGTCAATTTGAGATTTTTTTTGCGTTGGTTTTTCCAACGAAACAAAGCACTTTATTGTCTTTCTCATTCGGAAGGCTCAGTCCCACACTCGGACCAACCTAAGTCAACCAAAATCCAACTCGATTCTATCTAATAGCTAATCTCAACTCGAGATAATTCAAATCCAATTCACTCGACTAAATGAATCCCTCCGACCCATTATTATTAATCAAACCAAAGTAAAAATGATTGAACTCATACTTCCATTAGTTAGAACAATCCAATTAATCAAATGTACGAAATCTTTATCATAATTGTGTTAAAACCCGTTTTGATTTCTTGTCCAACCCTTTCTTATACTCGAGGCTTATACAATCTGAACTTCACTCGTACCCAAGACACATTGTTTTGAGCTTGAACCACAACCAAGACACATTTGATCCGAGCTAGCTTGATCTAGCCTAAGGCACATTTGATCCAAACTTTACTCATATTCGTAGTAATCTGACCAAGATTTGATCTGAGCTGATACGCAACCGATCTAAACTTGACTTGAACTTGAAATTAATCATTACAAACTCATCCCAAATCGATATGAGCTCAAACCAAGTCGACAATAACCCAAACAAAACATGATACAAATCGAAGTAGAATCTAACCCGAATTATAAATATCTGCTTTCACCCGAATTTGAAGTAACCCGAAAAGATCCGATTCCTGGCCCCCCATCTTTTTATGATGTTGTGACTTGCTTTTTTTTTTTTTTTTAAATACAGTTCATGAAAGAGACAAATATGTGATTTAGGCATGTGAAAATTTGAGGCCACCACTAAAAAATCTTTGAGCTTAGGTGGGTCCATGTCTTAGATGCCTTCATCACTGAGGTTCATCCACATCTAATCCAAACTCCTAACCATCCTATCTAAAAGCTTATCAAAATTTCCTTGAAAATTGTTTTCTTTTCATTTAACAACTGAAAATCATCATTTAATTCGACATTGCTCGATTTTCCGTTCGTTTTCAATGCCTGGAACTATCCAAGTATCGGGTATGTTGTAGCTCATCATGCCTTAATTAGTTTGTGTACCAACATGAAGTGTATTATAACTGCTATGACAGATTTCTGATTTTTTTTTTTTCAGTACTTGAATTGGTGGGACTACCATCTCCATCACAATCTTCATCAATGGGTGTTAAGGGTATGAAAATTGTTTCGTTTAGATTAAATCTCGTCTACATCTTTACTTTGTGTCATATATTAAACTCTTAGTCTTGGGGCAATGCAGTTTCTATGGGAAAACAGGCACATGAAATGCAGGACAATAAAGAAACTTCTTTGTAATGTCACTTGACTTCATGCTAATTCGTCGTACTCCTTTGTATGTTTGTAGCATTTTATTTTTTGGAATTAGATCCTAATGATGGAAGTTTATACCTTTTCCATTTTTATAGTGCATTAGCTTCTCTACGGGACAAATTGAATGTATCGATACGTGACTCTGAAGGGAGTGAAATAGCACATACAGGTCAGTAAATACTGCAGAGCATATATATCAGTATGAGCAGTGATTCAGTGACAGCCACTGATGGAAGTGTAGTTGCTTTGCAGATGTTGAAACTAGGTCCATTGTCGAAAAGGGTACTTGGGATGATCTATTCCCACTTAAAGACGGGGGCATATCCGTATGAGACTGCATTTTATCCTTACAGAAAATGAGCTGAACAGGATTCGCAGTATGGTAATTATCTGTCGAATTCTCAACTGAATCAGTCCTACAACAGAACCTTATAAAGATTTTGTCGATATACTTGTAATATCATTGCAAAGTGAATAAATCACCAATGAAGTATGATTGTGGCTATCATGTACGACGTATATATATGAGTCTCTAAGAGTTATCTCATCGCCATTGTGCCTTATATAATGTGTAGGAGTTTTGTTGACTTGCAGAGAGAATCTGCAGCTCGGAAAAAGCAGGTGGAACTTCAGAAGAGGAGTCACAGTAGCTCAGATTTAGCAGTTGCTTCTGGTGGTAGGTCTGCATCATCTTTGTTCCTCAGCTTTGTACTAATATGAATTGTGTGTGCATTAAACATGAGGTACGAAGGGAAATTTTTTTTTGACAATTTTCTAGTAGTGTGATTCTAAATCGTTATTGTTATCAGCCCTGCGTCTTCACAAGATTCACTCAAGGCTCAGCATCAGACTCGCGAAAGAAGTGTACCGCCTGACAGCCAAGCTAAAATAATATTGACAGATTCCAATGATGAAGTTTTGAACAAAGCTCAACCTGGTCAGAAGAAACAAGTAATTTTTGTGATGCTTTTTATTTAAGTTCATTTTAAATTCATAAATTGCATAAACATATGTTTCAAATACGCTTTCTGCAAACAGGCACTTTCCACCTCCAAATCAACTGGGGCACTGGATAAGTTTCCGGCTTATCAACAGCTGAAGGAAAGAATTCAAGGACAAAACGTGGAGCAGCAGAGACGGTCAAATAAAACACCTACCAATGTAAGGAAATTGATGCTTGCTATTGAAAGTAGTCCAGTGAAGGTATCTGTTTACTGACAGTTATGCTCATAGTGTCATTCAAGGTTTTACCTATGTTACTCGGACTCTATAATTTACCTCAAGCACCCAATTCAAATCTCCAACACCAAACCATGGGTATAGAAAATTGTCACTTCAATTTGGAACCAAATTATGGAAAGTTTTTATAAAATAGGCGAGTCTATTATGCTGTCACATACTTGTGTCTTAACATATGTATCTGAGTCCGAGTAACATAGCCTTTTACTGCATTTACACCTTAGATATGAGATACCGAGAAATTTTTTTTTTTTTTTTTTCCTGAATCAACTGCTACTAATAAACCACAGGCAACAACTCAATTTAGCAGTAGTACTATTGTGGATATTCCTTCCAAAGAGCCAAGCTTAAAGAAGATGGTTGCTGTCAATACTGAACCAGTTGTCTCGAACTTAGAATCAGCACCAGCACTTTCAACTCAGGAAAAAGTAGGTGAAGAAAGAAGGGAAAGAATACCTGTTACTGATGAAACAAAGGAATTGAGTCGATTAAGGAGTAATACTAGAATGGATAACCCTTTCAAAGTGCCAATCTTAAAGAAGACAATTTTTGCTAACAGTAAACCAGTTTTGTCCAAATTTTTAACCGCATCAGCTACTTCTACTACAGGGGAAATAGAAAAAGAAAGAGGGAAATTATTAACTGTTAAAGATGAAGCAAAGGAAACAATCTTAAGGAAGACAGTTGTTGTAAATTCTGAAGCAGCACCCAGTCCTTCGACTCCAGAGGAGATAGGGAAAGAGTTGTTTTCCAGTAAATATAAAACTAAGGAAACAGGGAAATTAAGCAGTAATACAAGAGTGCATACTCCCATGAAAATGTCAATCTTAAAGAAGGTAGTTTCAGTGAGTTCCGTGACAGATATGTCCAACTCAGAATCAGCCTCAGCTTCTTCTACTTCAGAGAAAATGGGGAAAGGAAGAGAGAAATATAAGGACTATGGATCAACTCAACAAGAGATTTCTGATGAGTATAGTAAAGCTAATACCCAACATACAAATGAAGAGAGTAAAGAGGAGAAAAATGCAATGAAAAAGTTGCATACATCACCTATTTCTGAAAAAAGTACATTTTCTTTGAATACTCTTCTTGAAGCATTACCGAGAAGAAAGCAGTCTTCTACTGAATTTTTCAACCGAAAGTATGGATATACTACCAAAGACGCTTTAGTTATTGATGATAAATGGAGAAGCAAACAATGGAAATCTTCTCAATGTAGAGGAACATCTAAAGTGTTTGATGGGAATGAGCATCATTCAATTGATAGCTTACGCGGCTGGATATTTTTGGATGAAATGATACGCTCATGTGTTTTAAGAGATGACAGCAGGCCACGTCTGAATGTACCTGAAGGTTGTCTTTCCAATTGCAGTCAGGATAATGATCATGAAAAGGTCAGTCCACACCTAGCTGACCAAAAGAAATGAAGCTTATACTAGTATGCACTTCCTCTTTCATCCTAGACAGATCTAAAGCACTGTGCATCATGCATAAAATGTTCTACTTTAACAGCAAATCTATGAAATCACTCCTAGCAAGTTCTTCTAAACTACTCACATGAATTTGCTTAAAATAAAATAATCAAGTTGTCTAAAGATTAGATTTGCACTAATAGCGATTAATTTGCATGCTTAGTGCTGTGTGGTACGTCATTTTATTATTACAAGTATAAATAATGAAGCTGTCTTCATAGGGGGGAAATGCATTTTAGCTATGTGCTATCATGTTGTATTGTCAAATTAACTGTACAAGGAAACTTCTGATTTTTTTTTTTTTTTCTTTGTTATGATTTCAGCTCACAGATACTGGCCTCACCCAAAGAAAAAGTGAGAAGAGAACTACTGGATCGAAAAAATTGGAGTCCAACAGATGGCCTGACAATATACCATTTACTGGACCAGGCGGCCAGGTTTAGTTGTTACTGATCAATCTCCATCAATTTGCATATAACAGTGACTGGAAAATAAAGCAAAATTGTTTATGCAGGTAATGAAGATTGCGATCATGGCAGGCTTTGGCCTCCTTGTATTGCTCACAAGACAGGGAAAATAAGAGGTCTTACATTTGTATTCGTTCAAGGTAAATGCTTCATTCAAAACTGTCTATATGAAACCTCATAGTTGATATGTACATTTAAAGACATCCTTTCCAATTATTGCATGTAGAGTTATCTTTTAAGTTTTAAGCTATTACATATCACATAAACTAAGGTTACAGAGTATATTATTTGCATCGAGTTAGCTCTATTCTATGAGCTGGGATGATCACTGATACTTAATTTCTCCTTTATATGCAGACAATACAGCCAATGGTTAATTTTGCGATCAGCTTAGGATGCAGTTATCATACAAACACTCTGTATATCATCAAACATGTATGTAAAAGCATATCAAACTGCTTTGTGCTAATGTAATTCTAGTATTGTATTTATTCATCTTGCTGCGGACTCTTTTCAGAGTTTCAGGAAACTACAGGCTCAGATAAAAGTGAGAGTAAATTTCGTTTTTTCAAAAGGCATGTAAGAGTTATAAAATACCAAGTGAGCAAGTCCAAGGTAATCATCATGATAAACAAAACGTGCAATACCACAAAGCTTATCAAAAATGCTTTAATCTGCTCTTATCTAAAAACCTACATAGATCAACAGGATCATGAATCAACAGCCTTGACTTCACATTTTAGCTACACATTATTGTTTTAAGTTGTTTGATACTTCGATTTCATTGTTTATTGGTTAAATGTCTTAGCAAATGAATAAAACAAGCAAATGCAAATATTGAGTTTAATGCTCATTTATGCAACTGAACATAAATCATAGAGACAAATTTGATAATCCCAAACTTTTCTCTCTCAAAAGTCTCAGTCACTTAACGCAAAATTTAAGCAAGAAAGCGTAGAAATGTTTAATGATAAAGGGCGTATGCCTAAGAATAAAACAGAGTACGTAGAACAAAAAAAAAGACGAAGATAGTACCTGAATGTCGTCTCCTCATTCCTGCATTCCAACGCTATGAAATCGTACATTGCCTGTTCCCCAAATTCTCAACGGCCTAACTCGAACCATTACCATTATCTTCTCTACTCATATTTTTGACCCCTTATAGTCAATGGACTTGTTACGATCTTCAACAATGGGATCTTGGGTCCTCCCATTTTCATCACCACCCAATTTCAAAGTTCAGGCATTTTACCAAAACCCAAACCAAGGTCACCCACTATTGTTGAATTTTATCTTGATCCATTTTCTACCTGCACAACAGCACAAGCTCCAAAATTAAGTTGCAACGGTGATGATTCTTCGGTTTTTACTTTCCTCCATATTAACCGATTCTTGGTTTCCAACATGGTTGTTATCCGCCATTGTAGGAGGAAGAAAGTGAAGATTAAAGAGAAATGGCAAAGCCACCCAACATGAATATACTGAGATTTTTAGGGGAGATGAAAGCCAACAGCAGTGGTTGTACCGGTGTAGGCTGTCTTTCTGAATATATGTATCACATTTCATAAACTCAAGCATGATGTACATTAGGTTAATGTACACCTAGTGCATTATAGTGTTTACCATCAACAAAAGTATCACAAAAATTAAGGCAAACTTGGCAGTAAAAAGGTTAAAGTCTCCAAATATATTCGAGAATTTAATAAGCCTGAAGGGATTACTAAAGAAACATACTGCTCAGATTCACATTCACTCTAAATTGTTACACAAATCGTATGATGTCCAAATTTGTACATAAGCACATCTTCTCGTAATCAGTTCCACTATAGCAGCATCAGTACAGTACGCACAGAATAGCAAAATGAGATTCAAAATTATTAAAAAGAGTATTCCTTGAGATCTTCCTTTGAGTCGCCAAATTCCACATCAGCCAAACATTCGTCAGCACTAAGGGGAGGAAGGTTTCTAGTCTTGCGCTTAAGGTTATGTCTATGCCATTCACTCTTGAAGTGCTCTCTGTATTGTTTTGCATCACCTACAAAAGCGTTGCATGTGCTGCATTTGGTTTGCTTCACTTCCGGCTCAGAAGTTTTAGTACTACTTGAAACCGACTGCTTTTGTAACCTCTCACTTAGCTGATGAACAGAAGGTTCTGCTGGTTCCTTGGGCAGGCTTGGTGGAATGTCTTCATTGAATTCATCAAAAGCATCAACACCAGTATCTCCCTCTGAATGAACAGAGACGGCAAGAATTTCTAGCCTTCCTTGTAGATTCCTCACAAAGCTATCAAATTCTCGGAATATACCTGGATCCAGTTCACAGACCTGCACTCGTAAATTAGAACACATGAGTAACATTGTAAAAATTTTAAGCTTATAATTCCTGTATGAGCAGGAATTCAGGAAATCAGCAGCCCTCACATTATTATATTAGCATTCATTACAGCCTGACAACAATCTCCTCAAGTCCATTTTCATGTACTCATAAATATCCTATCCCTCTAATACATATTATTAAAACAATAGAGGTATTGGAAAAGGCTATTCTATACTGGGCAAGGGCAAAAATTAATGTCAATGAAAACATAACATGATAACAACAATAATTATAAGTTGAACACCTAAAGGTTGTAGTATGTGTCAATGCAGGGATGATTGACCAATGGGCCAAAGAGCAAAATAACTAAGGCCTCAATGTAAACAACACTAACATTTGAGTGGGATCATGAAAGGCTATTCTGACTAAATATTTCCAGAAATTCTAGTATATTGGCTAAACTCATATCATGAAGCCAAAGCCAAAACTACAGGAACACACAGATTTGATAGCAAGTAGGGCTCCACTCCAGTATAGTTGCATCTAGCTCAAGCTACTGAAGACTTCTATTTGTCCTTGCCTAACCCAAAAGCAAGATTGATCCCACCCGTTTATAAATCAATAACAATTTAGCATCCTTTACAGCTTTCAAGACACGACTTGCTCTCTCTATTCCCACGTGAAAGGGGTCATTCATGCTAGACAACACCAAATTGAACTAATACTTTTCAAGCTGGCTAGTCTGTCTTCTATCCTTTCACTAGAGATGTGTAACTAATTCCCAGAAATCCGCTCCACATACTGAACATGTCCTAGCCAATGTATAGATTAAAGTGGTAAATTGATAAACTTCCCAACTGGATCGATACGAATCAGCGCCACTTGCGCCAGTCTATGAAGGAAAATAAGTTGATTACCTCAAAAGTCTAAGCCATGAATTAAAGGAGCTCAAGAGCTGTGAAACAAATGCACAATACCTTAACATTATGCCCAAGATTACTTGACCAAGGGTTTGTAACAGAACATTAAATATTAGGCCAGCTTTCCACGCTAGTGGTAGGGAAAGACAATTTGCCAGATACAAGATCTTTCAGCAGACAGCACTAATTATAGGATCAGAAATACGTAAACATTGAAGCAGTGTAAGTGTGTAACACTGCTGAGAGTTTGGGTTTGTGGGCATATAGGTACCCCCAGATGGTCTTTCAGAAAAATTCCCTTTACTAGTTCCCAACAGATATAATGTGTAGTAGAGTACATCCAAACCTTCACACACTTTAGCAATAAAGGGATCCACGTCGATTGTTAATGATTTTGTCGTACGGTATCCAGAGCTTAATTCATTAGGATATTGAATCATTTATGCCTTAAAGAATTGATTCTCTAGATGAACATACATTTAAGGCAGATCAACTCACACAAAGCACAACAACAGAGCAATTCAGAGATAAACATTTGAAATACCATGGAAATGTTTGCGTATATAGTTTACTTAAATTCAAAAAACAGATAAGCTGGCAGGTGGAAAAGGCTTCTCGGAGTAAATTCAACTATAATATGATCAAGTGTAACAGCAGACTGCAGAGGGATGAGCACCCTTCTCAATTTTTTTCATGGAATATTTGTATAGCATTACACTATATAAACAATTTAGATCAATATATAAATACTTCCATTTACAAAAAATATTGCAACACTAACTTCTTCACTATTTACACATTAACTTTGACCACTTTTATTTTTTAATTTATTGGAAGCAAATGTTAACAAGTAACATGTTGAATTAGTTTCATTGTATATTTTCATAATATAAAATTTTATTATTTTTTACAGTTATTATTAACATAAAAATTAAATTTTTTTCAAATTTATTGGATGTTATCAAGTAACATGTAGAATTACTTTCATTGTACATTTGCATTATATAAAATTTAATTTCTCTGTACGGTTATTATTTGCATACAATTTGAGAGAGAAAAAAAAAGGTGGATAGAGCAAGAGAGATTAAAAAAATGTGTGGATATAGTTAAGACATTGTGTATTGATTTTATGCTTTTTATAATTTACTCACACAAAGAGGACAAAAAATTAAAGAGAGCAATGTTGAACCTTTGATTAAATATATTGAAAATGGGGGTTTGTAAAAGCTAGCAACTTTAGGAGGAGGTTTGGAATTTTATTCATAAGAGGAGGAGCTTAGGCAAAATATTTTAGGAATTGAGGAAAAAGAACTTGATATTGGGGCTTATGAGGTTTCACAATCAAGATAGCTTAACCAATTTTTGGGTAGCATATACCAAATGTCCCCTAATTGTTACAATTATTAGGCACATTATATTCAAAGATGATCTAAGTCCCAAATCATTCAAATAACACACCCAAAAAAGTATTATCCAAGAAATAGGCTCAACTCCAATAAACTTGCAGGAATGGATAAAAAGGGAAAGTTTAGAGCTGCAAACATAACAGTCAAGTAAAAAAGATATAAACAAACGATATCAGGGCTGCAAAATTAGGATGAGAAGCACTGATGTAATGAACAAACTTACAACTGAAAGTTGATTTCCAGATTCCTCCTTTGACACAATATCCCCATGCCCTGTTTCTAGCTTCTCCTTGATAGAGGGAAAGCTCTCAGGAGAAACAGTGATTCGGAGCCGCATTGGAGATCTTTTAATGGGAAATTTCTGCTGAAGCTGACGGATAACCTCTAGTGCCTACATTATGTTCATAATAAATTAAGGAACTCCATTATATAAGAAAAAGTGTGGGTTATTTTAGGACTGAGATAAAGTTGCAATTCAATAATCAAAGGCATTAGCTTAACAAAGATGCAGAACTATACTAATGACTCCAACAACAAAGCAAGATATGAAGATTGTGAAAACAAAAGATTGAGATGCTAGCAAATCAGGGAAAGGAAATTTAAGCCAATGAACTGAAGGACTGCTAACCTGCTTCTTTGAACTGCTATGGGGATCAACAGCATAGTGAATTTCATGCATCAAACGTTCAATCATACTAATTGTATAAGGATGCTTGGTCTCGGGATTAATAGTCTTCTGCATGACAATAGTTGCAATATCCCGAAATTGACTCGATAACTGGGCCTCCCTCTCTTTCCCTGCAACTTGAAGCTCTCCTTTGTCCAAAATCTAACCAAAAAAAACTTGTATCAGAAGACCAAGCTATTGCATCCCTACAACATTAGAG